AAGCGTATTTTATTAATATCGAAATGAATGTTTTCTATGCAATCATACAAAACGTTTCTATTTTCTCAGGATAAATTTTGCAAACTAAGTGAATAAAAACCCATTTTTTGTAAATAATTCTAAGATATCAATATCTATACTTCTTGTCTCTATATTTGTTTTTATGTAAGAAAATTACAATGCACGTACAATCGCCTGTCTGCGTGTGTGTGTCTTTAGCTTATTATTTTCTAGCTTAGCGTATGGCATGGTGTATTTTCATATCAGTTATCTATCTTTCACATTGACATATATATATATATCTATACAAGCCTATATTTTGTATAATAAAATCTTAAAATAATTTCTTTCATATTTCAGGATTCATCACAAACATCATACAAGAAAACTAATGATAATAATGGAAAAATCAATGAATTACTTGAACATAAATCAGAAATGTCATATTATGTTCCACCAGCAACGCATGTGTCTCGTGAACCATTATCAACATCGCCAAAAATTCAAAATTTTAGTGATGAAGACGATGATTTATCACATTCTTCAATTCCTAAACATTTCATAGAAAAGAATCAATATTCAGTTCCAAAATTTATAGCAGACAAAGACCAAAAACAAAATGTTGCAGATCAACCACATTCTTCAATTTCAAAACCTCTCACAGATAATTATCAAGAGGAAAAATTTGGTGATTTATCACATTCTTTTGTTCCAAAATTTGTAGCAGGAACAAATCAACAAGAAAATGTTGCTGATTCATCCCATTTCCCAACCTCAAAATTCAGCACAGGAAAAAATCAAGATGAAAAAGTTGGTGATTTCGTACAATCTTCAGTTCCAAAATTTACATCAGAAACACAACAAAAAGAGAAAATCATTAATTTACCATATTCTTCAGCTTCAAAGCCTTTCGTAGGAACAAACCAAGATGAAAAAACTACTGTCTCATCACATCCTTCAGTTTCAAAAATTACAACAGAAAAATACCAGCAAGAAAATGTTATTGATCAACCTCAGTATTCAACTTCCAGAATCTTCGTAGGAACAAATCAAGATGCAAACTTTGGCGAACCATTTCATTCGTCAGTTCCAAAATCTACAGTTGAAAAAAATCAACAAGAAAAATTTGCTGATTTAGTACCGTCTCTAAGTTCAAGACCTTTCGCAGGAACAAATCAAGATGAAAACGTTGGTCATCCGTTACATTCTACAGTTCCAAAAACTACAACAGAAACAGACCGACAAGAAAGCATCTTTAATTTACCATATTCTTCAGTTTCAAAGCCTTTCGTAGGAACAAATCAAGATGAAAACGTTGATGAACCATTATATTCATCAGTTTCAAAATCTGCAGTTGAAAAAAATCAACAAGAAAAATTTGGTCATCCATCACATTCTACAGTTCTCAAATTCACAGCAGATACAAACCAACAAGAAAAAGACGCTGATTCATCCTATTCTCCAATTTCAAAATTCGTCGTAGGTAAAAATCAAGATGAAAAAACTACTACTTCATCACATCCATCAGTTTCAAAAAGTACAACAGAAATCGATCAACAAGGAAAAGTTATTGATCAACCTCATTATTCAACTTCCAGAATCTTTGTAGGAACAAATCAAGAGGAAAAATTTGCTGAACCATTACATTCTTCAGTTCCAAAATTTACAGTAGAAAAAAATCAAGAAGGAAAAGTTGCTGATTTACAACAGCCATCAAGTTCAAAGCCTTTCGCAGGAACCAATCAAGTTGAAAAAATTGATCATTCATCACATTCTCCGGTATTGAAACTCACAGCAGAAACAAGTCAACCAGAAAACGTTACTAGTGTACCGTATTCGCCAAGTTCAAAGCCTTTTGCAGGAACACATGAAAATGAAATATTTGGTCATCCCTTACGTCCTTCAGTTCCTAAATTTACAACCGAAAAAGACCAAGAAGAAAATGACGCTGATTTATCCCATACTCCAACTTCAAAATTCGTCGGTGGAAAAAATCAAGCTGAAAAAATTACTGCTTCATCACATCCTTCAGTTTTCAAATTTACATCAGAAAAAGACCAAGAAGAAAAAGATGCTGATTTATCCCATTCTCCAACTTCAAAATTCGTCGTTGGAAAAAATCAAGATGAAAAAATTACTGCTTCATCACATCCTTCAGTTTCCAAATTTACAACCGAAAGAAACCAAGAAGAAAAAGACGCGAATTTATCCTATTCTCCAATTTCAAAGTTCGTCGTCGGAAAAAATCAAGATGAACAAGTTGGTCATCCATCACATTATTCAGTTCCAAAATTCACACCAGCAAAAGATCAACAAGAAAATCTTACTGATTTATCCGATTCCTCAACCTCAAAGTCATTCTTAGAAACAAATCTAGAAGATGATTCCTTATATTCTTCAGTTCCAAAATCTGCAACAGAAAACGATCAATCAGAAAAACTTATTAATATCCCATATTCGTCATTTTCAAGACCTGTCCTCGAGAAACATCAAGATGAAAAAGTTCCTGATTCATCACATTCTTCAATTCCAAAATACCAAGAAGAAAAAGAAGTTGATCATTCCTCAAAATATGAAGCTACCGAACAATTATCTCAGGTAATATTCTGTTACAATAATTTTTATAAACAAAATCAAGATAAAACTATTTAACAAATTCATCTCTAATCAATAGAAATATTTTTGAACCGTAGGTATATTGTATTCTAAATGATTTTTTTTCTTTTATTATTGTAATATAATATTGATATTGCTCAGATAAATAATTCTTCGATCATAATAATTTCACGTAAAAATCAAAATTTATGTTTTTTATGAAATAATTCCAGCTGCTCGTTCTATGCATGTTCTTGTTCTGAAAAACACAAGAAATAGGTTTTTTTTTATTTTCTTTTAATTTTCTTTATTTCATTTAGAGTGATGATAATCAAGTTATTCTTGATATGCATGATGTTGCAAGTCGTTTAACATCATTACATGATCAATTAAATCAATATGTTTATTTAACAGATAATCTTAATGAACTTCGAACAAATGTTGATCAAATAAAAGTATGTATTATTTGAAAATTATTTTTGCTATAAATTATTTTTTAGACATTACATTCGGATGTTGAACAAGAAAAACGAACTATTAACAATCTTGTTGAACGTGCTAGTCATATCAATCCTCAACTTGCTAATCTAAGTCAAGATCTGGAAGAAAAACGTGTTGAAGTAAGAAGAAATTTAAATTAGTATAATTAAAATTTGTATATGTACACTTGATATGATACTCGTAAAAAACACTAATGATCTATTAGCAATTGTATTCTACACACTAATTGCAAATAAATATTTTCGTTCTACCAATCATCAAAACAAATTTTGTTTTTAATTGAATTTATTCAGTATAATTAAAAAATGTTCCAATTTGATAAACGTATAGTCATGATTAATTACCTATATTGATAAAAATATATTTTCGTGAACTTATTTAAATTTTTTTGTTTTTCTAATTAGATCTCAGATATCAATAGTGGTTTAAGTGAAATAATCGATCGATTTATTAGTCAAGTTGATGAATTCAATAATGAACATGATCAATTAAATCAATGGATTGAAACAAATAATAAAGAAATACAAAAACCATTAGAATTATCAACATTAGAAAGTGATAATAAACAATTTAAAACTATTTTAAATACAACAATTAATTTACAAAATGATGTCAAATCTTTACAAGATCAATTACAATCAATTGATTCAACAATACAAGATTTTGAAGAAGCAACTGGAAATACTGATGGAGGAAAATCAGCTAATATATATAAACAACTTCAACAACGTGCAGATGTTCTAACAACAAATTATACAGATTTTCTTAAACGTTCTAAACAAATCTCGGATCAATGTGAACGTCATATGATAACATATAATGAAATAAATCATCTTAATGAACAAATTCTTACATCAATGAATGAATTTAATGAAAATTTAACATCGGATGAAAATAAACAACAAGTAAAGAATTTTCGTTTTTCAACTTCCGCTTTTTTTTATAAATAATAATGTATAGGATGATAATACATTACAAATACTTTTACTTAATGTTCAACAACAATTAGATAAATTAAATGTGCTTGCAACACATGAACCAGCTTCACCATCACCTGTTATGTCAACAAGTACTCATCTTCAAAATGAAATGAAAGAACATGTAAGTCAATAAAACGTTTTCTATTTTATTATTAAAAACATCAGAGCTAAGACATTATCATGATTTAGCCAAGTTTGCCTACGTAGATATAAATCTACCTGTTCTAATAACAACTATTCAAGGCTAGAAAATATTTGTCTGAATATTTAAGGCATTTCATCTCAATTGATCACACTCCTTGTACAATATCGAGAAAAGAAAATGTTCGTATTGATATATTCATGACAGTTATATAAAATAAACATAAGGAAAGATCTGTTTGTTGCAACCTAGTAAATAGTGAAAAGGGCAAATTTGAGACGCCTATTTGCCGCACGCCATAACTCATGACGTCAGCAAATTTTATTAAGAAATTCTAACTTTTTCTTTTCTACTAACTTAGTATCCAAAATATTTAGGATTATTCGTATATCGAAAGAAAACATATATTGTTGACTGATGCATATGATTAATTCTTTTCTTTTCTTTTCTTGCTATAATACATAAAGAAAATCAGAGAAAAAAAGGGAATTATTCTCTACCAATACTATCATATATATATATATATATATCTGGCAGAAAAAACAACATAGGATAAAAAAAACCCGATTCTGACAAGTAACTATTAGTAGAACGGTCTAACAAATCGAAGACGAGACAAATATAATGAATATCTTTTTTTTATTAATTAGCTTCATACATTAATTGATTCTCATACTCAACGTTATGATAATGCTCAACAAGGTTTAATGCATAATTTCGAATTATTAGAACGTTATAATCATGAACGTCAAACAATAAAAGAACGTATTGAAGAATTAAATCATTGGTTATTAACATATACGGATAATCAAATAAATTCCAATGATATTTTTTCTAAACCACTTTCATTAAAACGTTCGAAACTTGATGAACAAATTATACAATTTCGTCAATTTCATGCACAATTACGTACACGTCGTCATTCATTTGATTCCGATATCAATACAACAATTAATCTTGAACAATTATTAGATAATAATGATAAAAATAATTTAGAATATATTGATAAACAATTTCAATTATTAGATGATCAAGCAAATCAATATAATGAACGTATTAATCGTTTATCAACACGTTTAAATGAATTTCATCTTGAACATGTACATTTAATTGATAATTATTCGAAACGTTTACGTCTTTATAGTGAACATATTGAACAAAATGATGATATTAATTTTTCTGCATTACAATTATTATTAAATAATGATAATGAAATAATAATTGATCATGATTTATATGATCAATTAATAGAAGATTTAACTGAAACAGATAATATTGAAGATATCAATGAAATAATTCAATATAAAAATCAAGTTAATAATTATAAAAATCAATATGATAAATTTCAAAATGATTTAAAATTAATTCTTTCAAATCGACAAGATATTTTAAATGAATATGAATTAAAGAAAAATTTTGTACAAGAATGGTTATTAACAACAGATCGTTTATTAAAACAATATCCAAATGAATTAACATTATCATTATGTAAAAAATTATTAAATGAACATTCAACTATGCCGATTGAAGAATTTAAATTATTAAATCAACAACTAATTAATTTTTATTCATCACCAAATCTTTTAAATTTATATGAACAATTAAAATTAACAAAACATATAAATAAACATTCGAATATAACAAAAAATTTTCAACGACAAACAGATGAATTAATTGATAATTATAATTCAATAAAAGATCGAATTCTTCAACATATGAATCTATTAGAAAATATTCAGCAAGATACTGAAAAATATCAATTGGCGAAACAAAAAGCTGAAGATTCAATTGAAAAAGCGAAAGAATTAGTTACATTAGAAGAAAATACAATACTTCCATTAGATCATCAACAACTTGATATAATGTTACAAAAATATAAAGTATATATAATTTTATGATTTGTATGAGTTATTTTTCTATTAGTAAAAAAAAGCTGAAGTAGGAAGAACTACACTAACGAATATAGGCGAAAGAAGGATTTTGGTAATTCTATTCGAATGTATACTTGAGTCAATAAAACCAGAGCTTTATCCAGGTTTCTTTTTTCGAGTGTGCGAATCGAACTGTCGGGTGGGCGCTGTCCATCTTGAGGGCGTGGGTGTGAGTGGGTGTGGGGTGGACGCTAGTGATAGATGAAATGAATACCCACACCTACACCCTCAAGATGGAACGGTTACCGTTACAGACTGGTCACCGTTGCATCCCTAGCGTCACCCACGCAGCGCATCCGCTAGATAAAACTCTGAATAGAACTAGTTTGAGATTGCTTTGTATGTGATATTTAATTAAACTACTCAGCATAAACTACATTTTGATATTCTAATAATCGATTCATTAGAAATAGAAGACGAATTATTCTGTAAAAAAGTTGTGTATGATTTTCAGTATATGAGACATAATTAAAATTGTTTTCTTTTGTTGACTTGACAGATAATAAACTTATACATATCTAATACTAATAGAATATTTGGTATGTATTTATACAGAAAGTCTCGTTAGTACTGACAGCATGATAGAAAAAGAGTTATCTTTATATTCAGACTGAGAGCGAAGGTCAGATAAAAAATATATAATCACATTAAATAATTTTCTTTTCATTGAAAAGATTACAATATTCAACAATTTATTTTCATAGAGTATTGCCGATCAATTCAAAATGATGTCTCCAACTATTGATGAATTTAAAACAAGAGGTTTAACTTTAATCAATACCACTGAACGATATATCGATACTGAACCTATACAAAATGAAATTACTTCAATTGGTAAAAACAAATTGAATTTTTCAAAAAAAATTACCTTTTTTCTTTTATTTTAGATAAAGCATGGTCAGAATATGTTGAATATATACTTGATACACTTGATTATATTCAATTACATCAAGAAGATTTACATGAATTTCATCAATTATCAAATGATTTAATAAGTTCATTAAACGAAAAACAACATGATTTAGAAATTTTAAGTGAAAATGATTTAAAAAGTTTTAATAATGATTTAGAAAAATGTTATGAACAAGTCGAATTATTAAATCAAAAAGGTGAACTTCTATTACAAAGTTCAGCAACAAATTTAAATGATGAAAATGATAATCAAATTGAACGTTTATTAGAAGCAATTAATCGTAATTATGATAGTTTAACTGTTAAAACAAAATCTAATCTTGAAAATACGGATCATACTCAACAATCAACAATGATTCCAACAGAAGAACAAGAAGAAGAACAACAAAATATAGTAAATACATATATGAATAAAAAGAAGAATAGATATATATCTTTTGATTTATTTAGATATCTCCAATATTAACAAATCAACTATCAAATGAACTTCAACATCACATCGAAGAAACCGATATCGCTATGAATGAATTATCTGAATTATTAGTTTCATCAACAACGGATGCAGTATCTGCACAACCTATTAAATTAAGTGAACAATTACTTGATAATATTGCTGTACAAAGTGAATTAGAACGACGTAAAATTGCTCTTGAACAATTACATTCAAATGTCGAAACATTGAAACAAATGATGGCAAATTCACCCGATACAGATTCAGTTAAAGGTTAGTAAGAATTTTTCTTTTAGATCGTCATTAAAATTGTTTTTGTAAACTTAGTTCTCGATCAAAGACTTACTCTATTAAATGAACATTGGTCAATAATGAAACAAGCTAATGATATTCGTACTGAAAATCTTCTATTAACACAAGCATGTGCAACTACATTTTGGTCTCAACATTCTGAACTTTCAACATTTTTGAATAATACTGAAAAACAATTAACAAAAATTCGTCCACGTTCAACATCACGTGAACATATTCAACGTGAAAGTCAAAAATATAATCAATTAGCTAATGATTTTTCAAATGAAAAAATTAAATTTCAAGAAATTCTCGAACAACATACATCACAATTATTAACATTAATTGCAAATAATCCAGAAGAAAGTAATGATATTGAACGTAATATACAAGAATTAAAACAAGAATGGAATCGTATAGAAACAAATTTAAATACATGTCACAATGAATTACAACAAGCTATGATTGAATCAACGGAATTTAATTCGAAATTAGAACGTGTATCAACATGGTTTGATGATACTGCAATTCCATCAATAGTCAATGATAATAATGAATTTGAACGTATACGAACATTTAAAGAACATTTAGATTGTAAATATCTTGATATTGTAAATTTAAAACAAGACTATACAGATATTGAACAACATAAACAACAACGAATTGATGGAACAATACAACAAGATGAACATGATATGGAAGAAAATGACAAAACAAATCTTGTTGAAGAACAATTAGTAAATATTGATTCGAAATGGGTTGAATTAAATGGAAAAATACAAGAACAGTAAGTCTAATTTATTAAATCGATAATCAACATATGAATTTTTTTTCAGTAA